TACACGTTCTCCGATCCTCTGTTTAAATTATTGATGTCCAACGTTTGCAATGGAACCGGTGAATGTAAATATATTCCAGTTTATAATAGGTGAATAAGGTAGAAGCATCGATTGCTACCTTCGGAACATACCTTCGGAATAAAGTATGGCAGATTTTGTTCAGTAAAGGCAGCAGGATTGTTATAGGAATAATTATAGAAGTTAAGAATGAGTTGCAGGATTCTGACGGTGGAGATTTATATGCTTCTAGGGATTTGAATTAGAAATGATATGTTTTCTTTTTCGAAAGAAATTTGCGTATAAACCTATTCCTAAAGACGAAATGATGTAAGTTTTGTTATAATATTTTTTTACTTATGACTTTTCTTCCCTGGTTTTTCTAATATGGACGCTATATAAATTTATCATTGATTATCTATCGGTGATTCTGTAACATTGCAGCTTTATTCAACGTTTAAATCGATTAACATGTATCACAAATAACAGCCAATAATTCCTTATAAAGAATCCAGGGTAATTTGTATTTGATCTTGAAAATACATTATGTCTTTCTCAATTTATTATTTTTCTACTGTAAATATTTATAGATATTAGATTCTGGTTAAAAACCTCCAGCGAGTTGTTGTTATAACGTTTTTCGTTGCTGCAATTAACATCGAGCGATATTTAAAACACGGTTTTATTAAACTAACATGTTTGCACTTTGACGCAATTATATTGCAATTGAATTTTTAACAAAAGAGTGCAGTTAAGATAGATATATATATATATATATATATATATATATATATCCATAATTTTTTTTATACGTTGGAATTGTAATGAGTGATTAAAGCAAAATATTTGATTTGAATATTATATATATAATAATAACTTAGTTTCATAGTGACTTGTGAAATAAAAATTATAGTCAATGTTAACTATTGATCTCTACGAACAACCGAAGAAGAAGAAAAAATGGCTATTAAAATTGTGCTTCATTTAGACAAGTAATAATCTAACCTCAATACAGATGTCAAAATTACAATTGCGTATAAGACATATCATAATAAAGACGAGTGTAAATTTGCAAAACACATTTTGTCAGACTTTGCTTATTTCGGTTTTCTTTATTTTAAAATCATATTTAAATTAACTTTTCTTTTAAACGTCATGTAAATCAAAATGATCTGACCACACTAATTAATAGGAATGAAACTGGTGCGATGGTATTTAAATAATATTAAATGACTTAGATTTCTAAAGTTTGATTGTAAAACTGGGGTACAAGGCTTCAACAATATCTAGGTTTCACTATTCCTTAATTGTACTTTGTACCCACTGAAGAAACTTGAAATCATCTTATTTTGAGAAATTACAAATCATTCGTTGACAGATGAGTGCAAACAATATTACCGTGAAATAAGTTTCCATCAAACATTTTTTTAGACTACTGCTGCTGGCACCCCATGATCCAGGTCAAATTGTTTTATTACGATTATAATGGTTTGTTTCGGTACCAGTTTTGGTATAGTAGTACAGTTCACGCTTTACCCTGATTTGTAAATTCAGTATTGTCTTTGAATTTGCTATTAGTTAAGGAATTAATCAGTTAGTGTTTTTATTTATGTTTCATGTTTATAAACTATAGAAATAGAAAAAAAAGAAGTAATTTGATGCCGGTATCAAAATATGTCATTTTTCAAAGTTGTTGTCTTAAATAAGGTTACAATTTTTTCATTTAGCCTCTTGTCATTGTGTGTTATTTTTATTCTAATATAGCAAACTATCATTCACTTATAATCGAAACCCATTGAGTATGCTTACCTACCCAGGGTAGTTAATAAATTAATCGTTATTTATGACATATTTCTAATATCCTCTTTTGGTATGTTTTGAGTTGTCTCATCGAATTTTCTTTGAATATCCTTTTTGCACTATATGTTTTAGTATGACACTCAATTACCTACTTCATTCAAAAAATAAAACACACTTTGCATTTAAAATATGTTATTGTAAGACCAAAACATATTTTATACTTCTGTTATGCATTTTGACTGAAAAAAGTAGGTAGATATTTTTTTTTTAAATAATTTACATGGACTATACAGGGAAATGCTCTGGACTTTAACAGTTCTAAACCAACATTTAAGAACTTAAGTGTCCTACTCGAAAATGGCTATACGATAGTTCCGGTTGCATGAAAATGTAGGGTAGTTAAAGAGAGGAAACATATATTACATTTTATACTTTTAGCATATTACTTCTATTGTTTGAGGGTGGACATTTGCAGTTATACATCTGAATAACATTATGTCTTGCAAAAATATATTTTAAATTGCAATAAACCTTTAAAAATTCCACTTGAACTATTTTTTTCTTTGTTTTAATGTTTCATGTCCCCAAAAAAAAGATATAGTATCGAGTTTAATGCAGAGAGAAAGGGTAGGCATCTAATGATTAACTAGTTTAACTCTACCAAATATTCATGTGTCTGTCCCAAATCAGGAATTTAAATTAGTCAGTGGTTTTCTTTGATTAAATCTGAATGTTTGGTAATTAGGAGGATTTGGTGTGCATGGCAAATATTCGGTAGTATCATTCAATTTATTCACAACTGTTCGAGACTGGAGACGATTAACTTCTTCACGAGTTGTATAGACATTTGTCTAGTGTTGAAGGCCATTTGTTGACCTCTTTATGTCTTGGTTTTTTTTTAGTCGTTTGGTTTCTGTGTCATTAAAATTATAAAAGATGAATATTTTTATGATTCAAATCGTGTATTCTGGAGAGAGAGTTTGACAAACCAATTACAGGGGGTCTGAACGGAGGTCTACAAAATGGAGAATAAATAGGTGATAAAGAATAGCGAAAAATTCGACAACAAGGGCTCAGTGAATAATGGGGTTCTGCAGTTTAAAGAATAGAGAATAATGGTAAAAACAAAATATACAGCGAATAGAGAAAAATGACATAAAAAGTAAAAAGAACTCAGACATGAAGATACCTGACTCAAGCTAGCGAACAATTGTAGCGAACAATTAGCTAGCGAACAATTAGGAGGTATAACTAAAAACCACAATATCACATAAGGTTATCACGCTTTTTTCGAGCTAGCGAACAAGTATGAGAATACATACAATCTTAAACAAAAACGAAAAAACTAACTTAAAACAAAAGGGAAACCATACTTCATATATAAAGAATACAAAGCTTTTCTTTCCTAACTAAATAAATCCACATTAGGCATTCAATAGACAGCTGGATTACAATGACCATAAGTTAAAACATTGACAAAATGCATTTTAAGGGAATGGGGGTGCACTTTACGTTGTTTGGTCCGAATAATAGAGATTGTGACAGGTTACGACTATATAGGTGTTTAAGGGGAGATAGTGCCGCATCGTTTAGGAAAATCTCCAGAGTGGTTTATGTTCGAAAATCTTAAATTGTGGTAGAAAAAAACTGAAATTAACAAAATGAAATTAGGATATAGGACATTTTAAGTTATTTTTTGACCAATTTGAAGAGATTGTGTCGGGCAACGACTATATAGTTGTTGTAGAGGAGACATTGGCGCATCGTGTAGAAAAAAAATCCAGATCACTTTATGTTTAAGGGTGTTTAAGGGGAGATAGTGCCGCATCGTTTAGGAAAATCTCCAGAGAGGTTTATGTTCGAAAATCTGAAGTTACGGTAAAAAAATTGAAATTGACAAAATGAGATTAGGGGGCTAGCACTAAAAGTTAATGTTGGACCAATTTATAGAGATTGTGACGGGCAACGACTATATAGTTATTGTAGAGGAGACATTGGCGCATCGTGTAGAAAAAAAATCCAGATCACTTTATGTTCGAAAATCTGAAGTTAGTGTTAAAAAACTGAAATTTACAAAATGAGATTTGGGGGTTGGGCAACGACTATATAGGTGTTGTAGAGGAGAATTTGGCGAATCGTTTAAGAAAATCTCAAGATTTGTTTATGTTCGAAAATCTGAAGTTACGGTTAAAAAACTGAAATTGTGAAATTGAATAAATGAGATTAGGGGGGTAGGCCAATTAAAGTAAATTTTTGACCAATTTAAAGAGATTGTGACGAGCAACGACTATATAGGTGTTCTGGACGAGACATTGGCAAATCGTTTAAGAAAATCTCAAGATTGGTTTATGTTCGAAAATCTGAAGTTACGGTTAAAAAACTGAAATTGTGAAATTGCCAAAATGAGATTAGGGGGCAGGGCACTAAAAATAAATGTTGGACCATTTTAAAGAGAATGTGACCGACAACGACTATATACGTGTTGTAGAGGAGACATTGGCGCATCGTTTAATAAAATCTCCAGAGTGGTTTATGTGGTTTTTTTTTATTTTGCCATTTGATTGGGGACTTTCCTTTTTGAATTTTCCTCGGAATTTTAGCGATTTTACTTTTTATGTTCGAAAATCTGAAGTAACGGTTAAAAAACCGAAATTGTGAAATTGACAAAATGAGATTCGGGAGGTAGGGCACTAAAAGAAAATTTTGGACCAATTTAAAGAGATTGTGACGGGCAACGACTATATAGGTGGTGTAGAGGAGACATTGGCGCATCATTTAAGAAAATCTCAAGAGTGGTTTATGTTTGAAAATCTGAAGTTACGGTTAAAAAACTGAAATTGTGAAATTGACAAAATGAGATTAGGGGGTAGGCCAATTTAAGTTAATTTTGGACCAATTTCAAAAGATTGTGACGGGCAATGACTATATAGGTGTTGTAGAGGAGACAATGGCGCATCGTTTAAGAAAATCTCCAGAGTGGTTTATGTTCGAAAATCTGAAGTAACGGTTAAAAAACTGAAAATTTTATTGTGAAATTGAAAAAATGAGATTAGGGGGGTAGGGCAATTTAAGTTAATTTTGGACCAATTTCAAGAGATTGTGACGGGCAACGTCTATATAGGTGTTGTAGAGGAGACATTGGCGCATCGTTAGGAAAATCTCCAGAGTGGTTTATGTTCGAAAATCTGAAGTTAACCGTTAAAAAATTGAAAATTTTATTGTGAAATTGACAAAATGAGATTAGGGGGGTAGGGCACTAAAGAAAAATTTGGACCATTTTAAAGAGATTGTGACGGGCAACGACTATATAGGTGTTGTAGAGGAGACATTGGCGCATCGTATAAGAAAATCCCCAGAGTGGTTTATGTTCGAAAATCTGAAGTTACGGTTAAAAAACTGAAAACTTTATTGTGAAATTGACAAAATGAGATTAGGGGGTAGGGCACTAAAAGAAAAATTTGGACCATTTTAAAGAGATTGTGACGGGCAACGACTATATAGGTGTTGTAGAGGAGACAATGGCGCATCGTTTAAGAAAATTTCCAGAGTGGTTTATGTTCGAAAATCTGAAGTTACGGTTAAAAAACTGAAATTGTGAAATTGACAAAATGAGATTAGGGGGGTAGGCCAATTTAAGTTAATTTTGCACCAATTTCAAGAGATTGTGACGGGCAACGACTATATAGGTGTTGTAGAAGAGACAATGGCGCATCGTTCAAGAAAATCTCCAGAGTGTTTTGTGTTCGAAAATCTGAAGTTACGGTTAAAAAACTGAAAATTTTATTGTGAAATTGACAAAATTAGATTAGGGGGGTAGGGCACTAAAAGAAAAATTTGAACCATTTTAAAGAGATTGTGACGGGCAACGACTATATAGGTATTGTAGAGGAGACATTGGCGCAACGTTTAAGAAAATCTCCAGAGTGGTTTATGTTCGAAAATCTGAAGTTACGGTTAAAAAACTGAAAACTTTATTGTGAAATTGACAAAATGAGATTAGGGGGTAGGGCACTAAAAGAAAAATTTGGACCATTTTAAAGAGATTGTGACGGGCAACGACTATAAAGGTGTTGTAGAGGAGACAATGGCGCATCGTTTAAGAAAATCTCCAGAGTGGTTTATGTTCGAAAATCTGAAGTTACGGTTAAAAAACTGAAAATTTTATTGTGAAATTGACAAAATTAGATTAGGGGGGTAGGGCACTAAAAGAAAAATTTGGACCATTTTAAAGAGATTGTGACGGGCAACGACTATATAGGTATTGTAGTGGAGACATTGGCGCAACGTTTAAGAAAATCTCCAGAGTGGTTTATGTTCGAAAATCTGAAGTTACGGTTAAAAAACTGAAATTGTGAAATTGACAAAATGAGATTAGGGGGGTAGGCCAATTTAAGTTAATTTTGCACCAATTTCAAGAGATTGTGACGGGCAACGACTATATAGGTTTTGTAGAAGAGACAATGGCGCATCGTTCAAGAAAATCTCCAGAGTGTTTTGTGTTCGAAAATCTGAAGTTACGGTTAAAAAACTGAAAATTTTATTGTGAAATTGACAAAAGTAGATTAGGGGGGTAGGGCACTAAAAGAAAAATTTGGACCATTTTAAAGAGATTGTGACGGGCAACGATTATATAGGTATTGTAGAGGAGACATTGGCGCAACGTTTAAGAAAATCTCCAGAGTGGTTTATGTTCGAAAATCTGAAGTTACGGTTAAAAAACTGAAAACTTTATTGTGAAATTGACAAAATGAGATTAGGGGGTAGGGCACTAAAAGAAAAATTTGGACCATTTTAAAGAGATTGTGACGGGCAACGACTATATAGGTGTTGTAGAGGAGACAATGGCGCATCGTTTAAGAAAATCTCCAGAGTGGTTTATGTTCGAAAATCTGAAGTTACGGTTAAAAAACTGAAATTGTGAAATTGACAAAATGAGATTAGGGGGGTAGGCCAATTTAAGTTAATTTTGCACCAATTTCAAGAGATTGTGACGGGCAACGACTATATAGGTGTTGTAGAAGAGACAATGGCGCATCGTTCAAGAAAATCTCCAGAGTGTTTTGTGTTCGAAAATCTGAAGTTACGGTTAAAAAACTGAAAATTTTATTGTGAAATTGACAAAATTAGATTAGGGGGGTAGGGCACTAAAAGAAAAATTTGGACCATTTTGAAGAGATTGTGACGGGCAACGACTATATAGGTATTGTAGAGGAGACATTGGCGCAACGTTTAAGAAAATCTCCAGAGTGGTTTATGTTCGAAAATCTGAAGTTACGGTTAAAAAACTGAAAACTTTATTGTGAAATTGACAAAATGAGATTAGGGGGTAGGGCATTAAAAGAAAAATTTGGACCATTTTAAAGAGATTGTGACGGGCAACGACTATATAGGTGTTGTAGAGGAGACAATGGCGCATCGTTTAAGAAAATCTCCAGAGTGGTTTATGTTCGAAAATCTGAAGTTACGGTTAAAAAACTGAAAATTTTATTGTGAAATTGACAAAATTAGATTAGGGGGGTAGGGCACTAAAAGAAAAATTTGGACCATTTTGAAGAGATTGTGACGGGCAACGACTATATAGGTATTGTAGAGGAGACATTGGCGCAACGTTTAAGAAAATCTCCAGAGTGGTTTATGCTCGAAAATCTGAAGTTTCGGTTAAAAAACTGAAAACTTTATTGTGAAATTGACAAAATGAGATTAGGGGGTAGGGCACTAAAAGAAAAATTTGGACCATTTTAAAGAGATTGTGACGGGCAACGACTATATAGGTGTTGAAGAGGAGACAATGGCGCATCGTTTAAGAAAATCTCCAGAGTGGTTTATGTTCGAAAATCTGAAGTTACGGTTAAAAAACTGAAAATTTTATTGTGAAATTGACAAAATGAGATTAGGGAGTAGGGCACTAAAAGAAAAATTTGGACCATTTTAAAGAGATTGTGACGGGCAACGACTATATAGGTGTTGTAGAGGAGACAATGGCGCATCGGTTAAGAAAATCTCCAGAGTGGTTTATGTTCGAAAATCTGAAGTTACGGTTAAAAAACTGAAAATTTTATTGTGAAATTGACAAAATGAGATTAGGGAGTAGGGCACTAAAAGAAAAATTTGGACCATTTTAAAGAGATTGTGACGGGCAACGACTATATAGGTGTTGTAGAGGAGACATTGGCGCATCATTTAAGAAATTCTCCAGAGTGGTTTATGTTCGAAAATCTGAAGTTACGGTTAAAAAACTGAAATTGTGAAATTGACAAAATGAGATTAGGGGGTAAGGCCAATTTAAGTCCATTTTGGACCATTTTAAAGAGATTGTGATGGGCAACGACTATATAGGTGCTGTAGAGGAGACAATGGCGCATCGTTTAAGAAAATCTCCAGAGTGGTTTATGTTCGAAAATCTGAAGTTACGGTTAAAAAACTGAAATTGTGAAATTGACAAAATGAGATTAGGGGGGTAGGCCAATTTAAGTTAATTTTGGACCAATTTCAAGAGATTGTGACGGACAACGACTATATAGGTGTTGTAGAGGAGACATTGGCGGATCGTTCAGGAAAATCTCCAGAGTGGTTTATGTTCGAAAATCTGAAGTTACGGTTAAAAAAATGAAATTGTGAAATTGACAAAATGAGATTGGGGTTAGGCCAATTTAAGTTAATTTTGGACCAATTTCAAGAGATTGTGACGGACAACGACTATATAGGTGTTGTAGAGGAGACAATGGCGCATCGTTTAAGAAAATCTCCAGAGTGGTTTATGTTCGAAAATCTGAAGTTAAGGTTAAAAAACTGAAAATTTTATTGTGAAATTGACAAAATGAGATTAGGGGGTAAGGCACTAAAAGAAAAATTTGGACCATTTTTTTTTTGGGATGGCGTACCTTAAGATGTTGAAGACCAATTTATAGAGATTGTGACGGACAAAGACTGTATATGTAACGTAGAGGAGACATTAGAGAAGACATTGGCGTATCTATTTAGAAAAACTCCAGAATCGTTTATGTTTGGAAATCTGAAGTTAGGTTGAAAAAAAATAGGGGGGGGGGGGGTTTACCTTGTATAATGGAATGATGTTACTTTTTATACTTGGATAAAAAAAGTACATCAATATTTTAGCCCGCGAAATTTATCCGACAGTATGTATACACCGTTTACAACACACTTTCTCTTGAGTCGGTAGTCCACAAACACGACAATGAAGTAAGTAATTTTTTGTATTGAAATAACAGGGTCCTAAAACTTTGACAATGTCATTTTATATTCTTTTTGCATATCTCTTTCTGTCAACTCCTTCGCCATCCACATAAAACATGGATCATTGTAAACGTGCACATTATTACATATTTGTATACTGCACACAACATAATAATGGTCCCCAAAAATGGAAAGAAATATAATACAGTTCTATTAATTTTATTTTACTAATAAAAAAGAAGTGATTGCTGAAATAAAGAAGTAATTTGTCTGAAAGCTTTGGAATTATCTTGTTGAATGACCAAACCACACCCCTTCCCTTTTTTCGACGAGTCAACGGTCGTTAAACGTTTTTAACGGGTGAACGTACATTTATCTCCGAGCTTCGTTGAGTATAATAGGGTAATAGCTAAACTTCTGATAAACTTTGTCAAATTATTTGACTGAGACAATTTCAATTTTTTTTTTTTACAAAATAATGGAAAATATGAGAGAACAGTAATACAAAAACGAAATTTAAAACACAACTTTGATTTGAATTTAAAATTTTAATAGATGTTTATATCAATGTCTATTGTTTTCTCTGTCCGAACTCAACATCTGTCAAATTCATAAATGTTATGGGGACGATACGCAAGTTTATGGCAAGAGTTAATAGATGTTCGTCTGTGGTAGCTAATAACGGTTTATTATCTTTCTCGTGAACTAGGTTGCACGTGTTCCAATTTTAGTGTTTGTCAACTTTTATGTAAATCAGTTGTTTCTAGATTTTAGAAGAATTAGCTGTGCGATATCGAACTTATATTTTTTTAGAAAATAAATATATTTTCATTTACTCGCGTGTGAAATAATTCTAGGGAAAAAAATATCACAAAAAGGAATTCTATAACCTATCAATATTTTTAGCTTATTATGCCCACGCCGTATTATGCGGAGGGGCATTAAGATGTAACCTTGTCCGTCTGTACGTCCGTGCGTCTGTACGTCCCAAATAATGCCAATGCTAAATATAATGTAAAAGTCCGAGTCATCCTTTTCGCCCCATTAAAAAAAAACATATAATTATCACAAAAAGGAATTATATAACCTATCAATATTTTTAGCTTATTATGCCCCGCCGTAGCGGAGGGGCATTAAGCTTTACCCGTGTCCGTCTGTACGTCCGTACGTCCCAAATAATGCCAATGCTAAATATAATGTAAAAGTCCGAGTCATCCTTTTCGCCCCATTTAAAAAAAAATTATATATCACAAAAAGGAACTCGATAACCTATCAATATTTTTTAGCTTATTATGCCCCCGCCATAGCGGAGGGGCATTAAACTTTACCATTGTCCGTCTGTACGTCCGTGCATCCGTATGTCCCAAATAATGCCAATGCTAAATTTAATGTAAAAGTCCGAGTCATCCTTTTCGCCCCATTTAAAAAAAAAAATTATTTATCACAAAAAGGAACTCGATAACCTATCAATATTTTTTAGCTTATTATGCCCCCGTCGTAGCGGAGGGGCATTAAACTTTACCCTTGTCCGTCTGAACGTCCCTGTGTCCGTACGTCCAAAAATTGGTTTCCGTTCTCTAACTTTAGTTTGCCTCAACCAATTGTCATAAAACTTATACACAATATATAAATATAAGAAGATGTGGTATGAGTGCCAATGAGACAACTTTCAATCCAAGTCAAAATTTATAAAAGTAAACAATTATAGGTCAAAGTACGGTCTTCAACATGGAGCCTTAGCTCACACCGAACAGTAAGCTATAAAGGGCCCCAAAAATTACTAGTGTAAAACCATTCAAACGGGAAAACCAACGGTCTAATCTATATAAAAAACGAGAAACGAGAAACGCTTATGAACCACATCAACAAACGATGCTTATTACCACAAAACACAGATCAAATTTTAAATTTGGTGACGTCACTTTTACCGTTCTAGAGTTATACTCCTTTACAAATAGAAAAATTGCTGAAATTTTCATTTCCGTTCTCTATAACTCCAATTTGTCTCAACCAAATGTTATTTTGTTCCATAACTTATGCTCTTATGACTTAAAGTATCAATTTAAGATCGGTTTGTATGTTAGAATTTCACCTACCTACACCCTACAGCTTTATTACACATTTTTGAATATTCAAAAAGAGCATTCTAAGGATAATTTTATATTCAACGTGTATAACTTCAATTGATGTTTTTACCTTTGACGTTTTTTTTTTAAATTTTATTTCCCGTCTTACGAAAAGAGAAGAAGTCTGTTAACATTTTACACCATATTCACACGAAAAAAACATGATAACACTCGAAAAAGACCGATCAATTCACGCTTTAAAACGATCCAGGGCACAAAATCGTCTATTTTGTCGTCGTGAAGTTTTCTTTTTGTCGAGCCTGCGACTTTTGTCGCAAGAGCGAGACATAGCGATCCTACATTCCGTCGTCGGTGTTGTCGTCGTCGTCGTCCGGCGTCGTCGTCGTCCGGCGTCGTCGGCGGCGTCCACAAATATTCACTCTGTGGTTAATATTTTTGAAATTTTAATAACTTTCTTAAACTATCCTGGATTTCTAATAAACTTGGATAGAAGCTTGTTTATGATCATAAGATAGTATCCAGAAGTAAATTTTGTAAAAAAAAATCCTGTTTATCCGTATTTTACTCATAAATGGACTTAGTTTTTCTGCCAGTTAACATTACATTCACTCTGTGGTTAAAGTTTTTCAAATATTAATAACTTTTTTAAACTATCATGGATTTGTACCAACCTTGGACAGAAGCTTGTTTATATTCATAAGATAGTATCCAGAAGAAAATTTTGTAAAAAAAAAACCCTGTTTATCCGTATTTTACTCATAAATGGACTTAGTTTTTCTGCCAGTTAACATAGCATTCACTCTGTGGTTAAAGTTTTTCAAATTTTAATAACTTTCTTAAACTATCCTGGATTTGTACCATACTTGGACAGAAGCTTGTTTATGATCATAAGATAGTATTCAAAAGTTAATTTTGTTAAAAAAATAATTCTGTTTATCCGTATTTTACTTATAAATGGACTTAGTTTTTCTGCCAGTTAACATTACATTCACTCTGTGGTTAAAGTTTTCAAACTTTTAATAACTTTCTTAAACTATCCTGGATTTGTACCATACTTGGACAGAAGCTTGTTTATGATCAAAAGCTAGTATCTAGAAGGAAATTTTGTAAAAAAAAATTTCCTGTTTTTCCGTATATTACTTATAAATGGACTTAGTTTTTCTTCCAGTTAACATTACATACAGTCTGCAGTTAAAGTTTTTAAAACATTTATTAGATTCATAAACCATCATGGATTCCTTCCAAACTTGAACAGAAGCTTCTTACAATCAAAAGATAGTATCTAGAGGAAAATTTGTAATAATTATTTCCCCATTTTTGTTGAGCCTGCGACTAACAGCAAAAGTAGGCGAGACACTGGGTTCCACGGAACCCTTACGAATTTTTTCGTATGAAACTGAAATTTAATCACATGTCAAAATCTGCAAAAAGCAAAAGTATTGCTGTTTATACAAGTATTACTTTTATTTAAAGTAAGTTCTCGAGGGTAAATTTCAGCAGTATGATTAGGGAATTCTTTATTATTTGAAGCAAAAATACCATCAAGGTAACGGTAAGCGTTATTAAATGTATCTATTAAATGGAATTTAGACGAATCTTCACTAAGAAATTGGCCATGAACTGAAATTCATAACAATACAGGAACAAGTTCTGAAGTAAAGTATCATAAGGATGAAAATTAAGAATTGAAAAAAAAACATTTGGTATTTCAAAAGTAGATTTGTAGATAAATTGACTTGTGACTACAATGTAGATTTCAATTATTCCAATAAAAAGTTGGACCAAGTGATACCGGAGCGGACTGTTGGTTGCAGGCTGCAATCGGCAAGTCAGTTGAATAAAAGGAGGAAAGAAAATATAAGTGTTTCAATAAAACTTGATGTT